ACTGTCCGTTCTTCTATACGGCAGTGAAACGTGGACGATGTACCGTCGGGATGTGCGATATCTCGAGCGGTTTCATCAGCAGTGTCTGCGACGAATTTTGCGGATCGGTTGGGGCGCCAGAGTTGCAGACACGGAAGTGTTGCGCCGAAGTGGGATGTATGCAGTGGACTGCATACTTTTACTGAGACACCTGAGATGGCTCGGTCATGTGTGGCGCATGGATTCGACTCGGATACCGAAACAACTCTTATACGGTCAGCTGAGTATTGGGAAGCGGCATGTGGGGAAACAAAAGTTACGTTACCAGGACATGATCAAAGTGAGCCTCACACGTTCTAATCTTGATTGCAGGTCATGGGAATCGAAAGCGGTTGATCGGCGCGTATGGCGCGATCTCATCACGAAGGCAGTTGCTGAAGTGCGGGAGAAAGACCTCATGCATGCAGAGAAGAAGCGGCAAGTACCGATGGATTGTAGTTCATCGACATCGAGTGCATGGTGCTGTAGCACATGCGGTCGCGAGTGCCTGAGTCAGGCAGGCCTAGTAAGCCATGAGCGAGGCCACTCGGGACTACTACCAAAGGGCCGACGGGTTCTGCAGAGAACGTAGGCAGAACCGGCGCAGCGTTTGTAGGCACGCTGCATTTGATTTACTAACCGCGTGCTTGCTTGCTAAGTCTATTTATTTCAGGTGGTGCGTTTGTAATTTTGCCCTAATGCTTTTCTTTCCCATATAAATGCCTAATTATACTCACTTCTATACACTTGCACATGTCGCTTAAGCCACTTGTAGTTATTTCGATAACATTTTCGTGTTTGTAGCATTTCCGTAAAATAAACCTCCTGACCTCGTGAACTTTCCTCGTATTCTTCTGTAAAAACGTATTCTTTCGTAAACAACTTATTTCATATGCTCAGTAATTTAAGATTTATGTCACCGTTTGCTTGCGTGCTAAGTCTGTCCATTTCAGGTGGTGGGTTTTCAATTTTGTCTCAATGCTTTGCTTTCTCACATATATGTTTACCCGTACTTTCTACTATAAACTTGCACACGTCACTTAAGCCAATTCCAGTCCTTTCTGAAAACATTTTTGTGTTCGTGGCATTTCCGTAAAGTTTGCCTTCTGACCTCGTGAACTTATCTCGCATTCTTCAGTAAACAACTTACTTCAGATGCTCATTACTTTAAGGTATATGTCACCCTTTCCTAGTGAGCCATGAGCGAGGCCACTCGGGACCACTACAGAAGCGACGACGGGTCCTGCAGAGAAGTATTCAAAACCGGCGCAGCGTTTGTAGATAAGCTGCATTCTTTTTGCTAACCGCGTGCTTGCATGCTAAGTCTCTGTATTTCAGGTGGTGGGTTTTCAATTTTGCCTAAATGCTTTTCTTTCTCATATAAATGTCTACATGTACGCTATTCCATTAACTTGCACACCTCGCTTAAGCCAATTGTATTCGATTTTCATAACATTTTTGTGTTCGTGGCATTTCCGTATAGTATACTTTCTCACCTCGTGAACATATCTAGGATTCGTTTGTAAACAACTTACTTCATATGCTCATTCACTTAAGGTTTATGTTACCGTTTCCGTATGCATCAATCGAGTTATTTTCTTTCCCTCTCTCTCTCTCTCTCTCAAGTGTTTGGCTGTTGTTTGATATCCCGGTGTGGCTGCGCTTGATGTGCATGTTGACAAGGCGCCTACCTGTCTATTACCCACTACCTCGTCCATACTGGCTCCAGGAGACAGTTTGTTGTTGCTGGGGGGGACGGGGTGCACGGTCCTTTTGGCCGTTTTAGGCTCGAAGAGTGGTTCCATGCACTCAGTGTGGAGCGGACTACGGTCCAGCCACCGCCTTGTGTGCGCTTGATTCCCAAAATACAGCGTCCTTTTGTTTGCCTGTGAAGGAGTGTGGGCCGGCTCCGTTGATGAAACGTGGTTCCCATCCGCATGCCTCCCGGTCTTATTCCTTCGGGTTTACACTGGATATGGGGTATGTGGTTGGAGCTGTGGGTGGTGCAGCGCAAGCCATCCATGGTCCCTCTGTAGGCGCAGGCGTTCTGTGGCTTGCCACAGTGACAGGCAAATCCGAAACCGGATGCCGCCAACCAACCATATATATATATATATATACATATATATATATATGGCCATTGTGCATAGCTGATGTTTTTTGCAATAGCATATACTATTTAATATTTGCAGATTTATCATAATATTTATAGCATCTACGTACGATACTTCTGCCTTTCTAATTTCAAGCATACATTCGAACAATGATTGACACAAGTCCCTAAACCATTGAAGGAAGACTCATAGCTGCTGTTTGGGTACATGATCGAGTGCTAGAATAAAGAACAATGATTGATGTTTCCACAAATTCCAGGGGCGTTTTAAGAAGGCTGCACCAAAAAGGACATTTTTGGCATGCGAAAAAAACATTTGCATCTGGATCTGTGCTGCATGCACCTCGTGGAAATCATTCAGCAGTCAGTTTTCATTTCTCCAAAGAAATCGACTCGTAAGAGGTCTGCTGAATTGAATATTCCCCGCTCCACACTCCAAAAGGCACTCAAAACTAAGCTAGGCATGTCAGCATTCAGGCCAGTGCAGGTCAGTGAACTGTTTGATTGTGATCAACAGAATCGAATGGAAGCGTATCAACACCTTCGCCAGGAATGCCGCACCAGAATCAGTCGTCACAATGTCTTCTTTAGTGATGAATGTGCTTAGAGCGCGATGATCGTGCGCTATATATCCGGTACGAGACTAGACGGCCAACCAAAAGCGATGGGTAGAACACGTAAAAGTAAGCTAGGGAAAAAGTTTGTTGGACGGGAAAAGAGTTATCTAATGCTAAAAATAGGGCACCCGAAAAGAGCTAGTTAGGGAGAATGTAGTTGACTGAGCGTCGTCCGCAGTCGAGTCGCGCGCCAAAGGCGGAGAAGGTATGCGTGTTTCCAACAAACAGGGACAAAGTTCCAACAGGCAAACCGTCTAGTTCCCTAATACATAAGAAAGCTATGGTTTGAATATATTTTAGAATAGTTTACAGTCATACGGGGGAATCTCCAGGTCACTACATGCTGTCTCAGCTCACGATCACGAAATGTTTACATTTGGAGCAAGGTTAACCCATACTACGCTGAAGGAATCGCCCACAACCCGCCGCACGTCATGATGTGGGCGGCAATGTCAGCCACCGAAATCATTGGGCCATTTTTTTTGAAAACTCAGTGAATCAGTTCACTTAAAGAGAAACGTTGGAGACCTGGTTGATTCCACAATTGGTTTCTACTGGAATCATGCATGTAGCCATTCTGCAGCAAGATGATGCTCCCGCACATTTTGCTATCTCAGCGCGCCGGTTCCTGGATGAGAATTTCACTGGCCGGTGGAGTGGACGTGGATCACAGCATCAGTGGTTAGCTCGTAGTCCTGACCTCTCACAATGCGACAATGCCTTGTGGGGCATGATGAAAAAATAGATCAGAAAAACACGTTATAACAACACAGAGAAACTTGAAGCTGCAATCCGTGCTTCATTGAACTCGATTTACCCTGATGTTCTGCAACGCACCTCAGCACGCACTTGGAGACGCATTTGTCTATGGGAGGAGAATGACGGTGAATACATAGACACACTAGATCCAAGACAGTGTGATCATCGGCCAAAACATGTTTGTTTGAAAAGTACACTGATCAGCGAAGAGCCCTTCTTTTCCTAGACAAGTATTATGTATAATTTTTTCTTTACATTTATACACTGATTTAAGTAGGCATATGCATAAACGTGGAGTGTCGGGGGACTTTGTGGCCACCCTGTAGATAATCGTTCCTAGAAGTCGTTTCAGGGTGTCACGGATCAGCTGAAACACAGCACTCATCGGCACCTGTTTCCAGGCTTATATCAAACTGATCGACGTTATAGGGATCCATTCACAGTTCGGACACGTATAAACATTCTTCATGGCGCACTTGAGGCGATCTCAGTCAGCGTTTGGCTCCGTCACCTCATTCATCATTGACAGTTTATGGGCCAGTTTGTCACGATAAGGTTGAATTGCGGAGTTAGAGTACGAACTACAAGTGAGAAGCTTTGGTGTTACGCGCTTCTTCGAAGCGGAACAGTGAGCGCCAGGCGTGCACGCACTGCAGTATGACCGGAATCTAGGCACATGCTCCAAATTGACTGACAGTCTTGCACTGATGTGCGCCATTTGTAGGTGATGGCAATATGGTCAATCTGGGCGGAAGTCGTTGATGAGCTCGGTTTGTGCCAGGTGACGCGAACGTTTGTGCTGGAAAGTAATGCTGCCAATATAAAGATTGAGGTCCATGTACAGTTGCAGGAATCGATAACGGTTATCTGTTCTGTGTGCATCGATCCCGAAACGGCCTTACAGATGCTGTTCAGAATCTGAGAAAGGACCCAATCGGACATTCAAGTCATCAGAACAATTACGATGTCAGCATTTTTTGCCATACGGAGAGATGGCGATACAAATCGTCTCTTGTACTTCCGAACTGCAGTCAGTAGGAGCATAAACGGGGCGATGAAAACCCACCATGTCTTCAGAAAGATGCCTACTAAATCCAGTAGGAATTCGCGGTAGAACAGCACACATCGGCTGTTCACTGGCATCCAGTCGAGTAAATTACTTTCAGCATGTTTGCTGAGGGAAGTAGTAATATCGTAAATACCTTAGTATAGCCAAAAATACGGATAGTGCAATTGGCTGGGTAGTAGGAGAATAGATAGAATCATTGGCCAGCAGACAACGAACAATACTTACGTAGTTCGAAACTAAAGGCCGGGTATATCGGAACACCATATGTTTAAATTGTTGGTGAACATTGATGAAACCACCAAGAACAAGAACTATTGGATAAATAGTAAAAATGATGGCTTTTGAAACCGCAGAGGGAATGGAAGAAATATGTGGTACAGAATCCGACGAATTTATAAAGAAAAGGAAAAAGTGTCTAGCTTACCTGATAAGACAAATTACTGCTCTCATTTTTGCTCTTTAGAGAACTAACTATATTTGAGATAGGAACATTCATGTACAACGCGGATAGATCTGGTTTTGGGTGGTTCTCAAGCTCATTCTCAAGATGTTTCAATCGTTGAACGGATTCGGTTAGTTTCTCCGGCTGAAAATGCAAAGATATGAACGTAGCTAATACATATGGTGCCAAACAACACAACAATAAGGAAATAGAAAGCAGAGAAACTGGGTGAGCAAGTTAAGAGTGCCACATGGGATTACAACAAACGAAAATCGTGAAATACAACGTATAAGCAAAAGAGCTGCAATGTAATAAAAACCGCAAGCTACAAAGCACCAACAGGTTTTCCGGACAAAGTGATCCAGCAAGCAATCAGCGATTCAATGAAATAAGGGACGAAAAAGTTTAAAGAAAAAATGTCAGTTCTGTCAAGTTCGGCAACTGCGATACAACGTTCGATGTACATAGGAGTTAGTTTACTAAATTTGCCTCACTGTAAAAATCGAAGGAAAACTAAAGGGCACAGAAATAAAGTACTATAAGACACGGACATATAAGCGATTGGAAAAGTAAGTTTGAACATGAGTAAATGCCACTGAATGCCACTGACGCATCCAATGCCACACAAGATGTGTTGTGTCAAACTAATGATTTAACTGACAACGTGGTATCCGTCATGTATGGCGGGCCTCAAGAAGCAGCAAGACTTGAAAATTCGCTAAGCCTCTTTGCATTGCCATGGACTGGACACCGAGGTTTCCTTCAGTATGTTCGCGGATTACACCCACGGGAACTAGTGGATTAGTCCATTCGACTGGATGGAGTTTATCATCAACGGCCACTAAATCACCGAAGTTCTGATCAACTCAACAACTACGCTCCGAGCGGCGAAATGCGGTGGATCCAGTTACCACAACTCATGTCGCAAAAATAACAATAATTAGTAACGAGAAAAGACGACGATGTCGTCCAGTCTGACGATGAAACGTCTGCAACCAAACCAGCCAGCTCGGAGAACACCCGCATACCCTCATCCGCATCCCGAGCTACAAATGAGGTTAAACAGAAAGAAAAAACAAAAAAATTGAATGAAGGAAGAAGCGTGCTAAATTCGTCGGGATGGAATGAAGTTTAACAGCTGGATAAGGCACTAGAAGCACGCCGGTACGCAGTACCCACGATTCGCTGCCGCGAAACTACTACCGGTCGCACGTGGGCTAAAGGTACTGCGAGGATTGCCCTGCCCCTATGCAGACTTGAACCCGCGCCGCAAGATTACAAGATAGGCTTGTTACCTCTAAGCTACGGGCTGGGCTAGATACACGAAACTGAATGCAAAAATGCCAATGACTACGCGACTGCGCTATGTCCGACAGTTTTCAAGCACTGGTGTAGATCGTCCCAAAGCTCTGTCACGAAGAGAACAAGCACCAGCCTGATCAAGTCTCTCAGTCAATCTATACATGCCACGGCGCAACGTCATCCACTGCCCATCTCGAGGCTTTTCGTAAAATGGTGCACCGATGGCATATAATGTATACCGGTAAAGGCGAGCAGCAGCCATACGGAGGACATGGCCTAGCCAAAGTAAGCAGTTGAGCTTCGCAAACAGTAGTTAGACACCAGAAAACTTCCTGATAAAAACCAACTGGTGGGCCTTCGCAGTGGTCACCCAGTGTTGCCACAAGAGTTGAGTAATACTCCCCAAGCACCGATGATCACGCACAGCAAACTGCTTAATATTATCACTGCGAACTCGCTAAATCGCAGACCCATACAGCGTCAAATACCCTGCTTACCACTAACACTGATATCCCGCAGTATTAGTAGATGGTTGAGAGTCTGGAATGCCACATGGACATTGTTGATAAGCAATCCGAAATGCTCAGTGATGTGACCAGCACAGACAGTCCAACTGCCTAGGAGAGAGACCGGATTCATCGCTTAGCATGATTGATCGATAGTTGCTAAAGCAGCCATAAAGATCACCATTATAGGCTAACTTAACGTAAGAGGTACACCCCAAATATTGTGCGGCATAACATAGAGAAAAGATACCTGGAAATCGAGATAAAAGCAGTACAGAATACAATAGTTAAACAAAAATATTAACGCGATATAAAGAAAGGTAATACACATGATGTGTGAGGACGTGGTTGGAGGGGGAAGATAGGCGAGAAAGGGAGGTAAAAACAAATGCACAACATAAACGCCATTGAAGTCGGCGTCCACCATGACAAAAAATGTATCAAACCAAACCGGCATATCGTCCTTAGGAGCTCAGTCCGGCAATCAGGAGACACCAAAAGACATCACACTCGATGCGAAAGTCAGTGTGCTGGCATGCGAACACGAGGTCCAGCCACCGGAGTCGGGTGCGTGAAATAACTGTGCTGAGCCGTTCACTAGCTCTTCCTGCACCAATTCATCATCATCAACAACAGCAGTACATCAGCCATTTGAACTGATGCTTCGCTGCCATACAACCATGAGGACCTGTGATATAAGGAAAAGAAGAGGGAGAGGGGGGGATTTACCTGAAAACCTTAATGCCCTAAGCAAACATTCAGGGTCAAGGCGCCTACACCTTGTGTAGACAACATACCGTCACAAACAGTTGGCTATCGTGCAAAGATAAGGCAGCATCGGCGAGACAGCTTCCTTGCGGTTTTCACTGCCCCGCGTCATAATCAGCCATTATCCCGCAGATAACTCCGCAGCAAACACACTTTAAACAGACAATCCGAGTAGAAGACGGCAGCAGACGCGCCACAAGTGTCTACTGCGAGCCAGGTCCTGTAAAGTCTCGAACCAGGCACAAAGCGAGTCACCTGGACTCCAGCCCGGAAGGCGAGACGGACCAACGGCACCCAGTTTGGTCGTCAGTGTCTTCATTTCCCGTTGCCAAGTCAACTTCTGTCCACCGCGAGCCTTGCGCCACCCTACACCTAGCAGACTAAACAAGGCCCTCCTAGGTAAGCGGTGATCAGGCATGCGTAGCACGTGCCCGAGCCAACGCAACTTATTCAGTGCTATCTGTTGTTCAAGGGAGCTAGCATGATTATCACCACCTAGTACTCGCCTACGCACATCATCGTTGCGGACACGCAATGCTTCGCAGACAACGATGATCAAAGACTTGAAGGCGCCTCAGATTTTCAGACCGAAGAGGCCAAGTCTCACTACCATAGAGCAGAATGGCCCTCACTGTGGCCTTGTATACGCGGCCTTTCAGACGGAGCGAAACTGCCTTCTGTCGCCAAAGATGCCGCAGGTTCAAGAAGGCAGCTCTGGCCTTTGCAATGCGTGAGCTCACGTCAGTTTCTATACGCCCATCATTGCTGATGCAGCTGCCAAGATAAGTGAAATGATCAACCACCTCGAGTTCCTCGTTAGCAAGCGTCAAGGGGTCATCAAGTGGCTGGTGGTCCTGCAGCAACACTGCACTTTGAAGGTGCGAAGTACATACCAAATAATGGGACCACTCTGGACAGGCTATTCAAAGTTGGTTGGGCCGCCGCAACATCCTCGAAAAGCAGGATGAAATCGTCCGCATAATCTAGATCAACTAACTTTTCACCAGGCAACACTTCAACGCATACATCGTGAGATTCCCCAAGGAAACACTTCATGATAGAATCTACGACGAAATTTAACAGAAATGGGGAAATCGGACAACCGTGACGAACGTCACTTGTCGTCGGAAAGCTATCCGATAGACCACCGTAGACCCTGACGCGGCCTCTAGTGTTCGAGTATAGAGCACGTACGATGTTCACATATTTCGTAGGAACACATTTCCGCGCATGTATTTTGAACAGAATCGATCGATCGACTGAATCGACGACAATCTTGGAATCGATCTGCGGTATGCGTGGCACTGCTCTAGCACCTGCTGCGAAGTGAATAAATAGTCTATACAGCCACGTCCTGGGCGGAAACCGGCCTGCTCTTCCCTAATCCGGGATTCCCGTTCTGCAGTGAGGCGACGAACGATAATCGAGGCCAGTAATTTTGTCACAACTGGCGTTAGGCTAATACCCCAGTGATTAGGACAGTCTGTGCGACTGTCCTTCTTGTATATTGCCACTATAATCGATTCGCTCCAATGAACCGGGACGCTCTCTTCATTCCAGACACATTCGAATAAGGAGGTCAGTGCCTTGCAGAGGACCTCACCTCCATCCTTAAATAGTGCAGGTGGGAGGGAATCCGGGCCAGCGGCACGAAAAAGATTAAGGGCTGTGATCACGCTTCGGTCCTCGGCCTCCGACGGAGGCTCTAAGCTAACCGTCCATGGCTCGTCCTGCATCACCTGAGTAGGAAGAGGTCCGGGAGCAGGAGGCCAGCTGAACTGATCTTCAAAGTGTTCCGCCCAACGAACCATACGGCGCTCCTTATTGTGTATCAGCGCACCCGCGCTGTCTCTGATTGTCTCACTGACGCCTGGTTTTAGGGGACCAGTGGTGCCGATAAGCTAGAAGAACCTGCGGTAATTGCCTACTGCTCCTGCCTCCTCCATTTCTTGAGCCCTACTGGTCCACCAGGCTTCCTTGTCAGGACGTAGGCTCCGCTTTAGTTCGCGCCTAATAGCCCGTCTGGTCACATTGTGTCCAGATTCAGCAGGGAGGTGTCTTCTAGCTTCCAACAGGTTCACGGACCTCTCGGATATCCAGTGACTGGTGCGATGACGACTGATATTGCCACAAACAGATGCTCCTGCGTCGTGCATGGCGGCCGAGATTCTATTCCACTGAAGTTCAGTGTCGTTGGGACAAGACAGCGAGAGTTCGCTATGCAGTGCTTCTTGATAGGCTTGCCTGACAGAGGGCTGGGACAGTTTCTCCGTTGCCAATCGGGGGAGACACTTTGTGCGCCTTCCGCTAAAGTTCATGGAGAAACGACGGCGCACCAAGGCATGATCAGAGTAGACACAAGTACTCCAGTACGAGCGCCAATTCAGGATGGAACCACGCCATCTGTAACTTATGGCTATGTAGTCAATTTGGGTCCATCGCTGGCCAGCTACAGGAGGACCCCAAGTGGCACTTCGGCGCCCACTGTGTCTAAAAGCAGTGCTGCTAAAAAACAACTGGTGTTCCGCACACAGTTGCAGCAGACGCTCACCGTTGTCAGTCCGTTCG